CACCCGCCCTCACTGCCCACCGACCTCACTGCCCACCCGCCCTCACTGCCCACCGACCTCACTGCCCACCTGCCCTCACTGCCCACCCGCCCTCACTGCACACCCGCCCTCACTGCCCACCAACCTCACTGCCCACCGGCCCTCACTGCCCACCGCCCTCACTGCCCACCAACACTGCCTTTCTTGAGCCCCTTGCTCTTTCTCCTCCCTCTCAGCAGGTGCCCTGACCCCACCCCATGCCTCCTTCCCTCTGTCCTAGAGAGACCAGGCCAAGGCCCCCACCTGACCCTTAATGCACCCCAGCTCACGTCGGGTGCCCTTCCCTAGAGCGGGGGCCCCTGGAGGGTGACGCCACTCCCTTGTGCCCCCAGCTGCCTGTGGCGGATTCCTCACCAAGCTCAACGGCTCCATCACCAGCCCGGGCTGGCCCAAGGAGTACCCGCCCAACAAAAACTGCATCTGGCAGCTGGTGGCCCCCACCCAGTACCGTATCTCCCTGCAGTTCGACTTCTTCGAGACCGAGGGCAATGACGTAAGTGCTGCTGGGCTGAGGAGACGGAGGAAGGTCTGAGGCATGGGAACTTGGCTGGATGCCTGCTTCCTACCCTCTGAAACAAACATACTCCCAGAATGTAGAGGGGAGAGGGAGTCAGGGAAGCAGGGGCCGCTCAGGGGAGGTGGGAAGACCCCGGAGCCCATGGCATGTGGGAATGAAGGACATGGGGTCTGGAAACCTGTGGAGGGAGGCAGGGCTGGGTCCATCTGATGGCAGAAGGGTGGCACCGATTTGAATTGTTAGGTTTGGTAAAGCAGGTAACTGCAGGAGAAAGGACCCACAGAACAGGAAGGCTCCTGGGCCGGGTGGTCAGGAGAGGCTTCCTGGAGGAGGTGGGCCTGGAGCCGCACTACCCTGCAGGTGTGCAAGTACGACTTCGTGGAGGTGCGCAGTGGACTCACGGCTGACTCCAAGCTGCACGGCAAGTTCTGTGGCTCTGAGAAGCCCGAGGTCATCACCTCCCAGTACAACAACATGCGCGTGGAGTTCAAGTCCGACAACACCGTCTCCAAAAAGGGCTTCAAGGCCCACTTCTTCTCAGGTAACATGGACTCCCCAGCTCCGTGCCGCTCTCTTGCTTCCTGCTGGTACCTGCAGCAGGGTCTGTCCCTGCTCCCACACTGGCCCTCCACCACCAGGCCAGCCCCTCCGCCCTGAACCCCATTATTCCAGAGCCCTGACCTGAGGCCGGGCAGGACACAGGCAGGACACAGAGATGCAGAAATGAAGGGAGCGGGTGAGCCAGGTGTCAGGAGTCTGAGAGCAGACGGGCCCTGGGGACAGGCGGTTCAGTGTGGCTGGAGGACAGGAGCTGCGAGCAGAGAGCAGGAGGGCATCTGCATGGACAGGGTGGCTGTAGCCAGGCTGCTAACCGGACCTGCAGGCTCCAGATGGGTTCATGCCTAGGAAGCAGCCTCCCTCCCTCCAACACCAAAGCCTTTCTGCCCCCAGCCTGCAGGTCAGGGACTCAGGTTCAGCCAGCATTTTTTGATTAGTTATTAATTTAAAATTATTTATGATATTATTATATTTACTTAATAATATAATACGTACTATCTGTATGTATTTAGTTAGTTTATTGAGAGTTGCCTTGGGGTTGAGTCCCCTTGATGGCCCCATCTTCAGGTGACCTAAAAGGTAGTCACAGCCCCTGCCCAGCCTCTGAGCTGGACCTCCAGGGGTCCCTGGAGACCTCTCCCTGCTTTCTTAACCCCTCTGCCCTTGACTCTGGGGCCAGGCTGGGAGGTGGCCGGCGGTCCTTCTGAGGCATGTAGGACCTGGGACCCAGACAGTGCAGGGCAGGGGGAGGGCTTTGTGGGGGGCAGCTGGGGGTCCTCACCCCCAGCACACCTGGTGGGTGGGGCACGGGCGGTAGGAAGGCAGGAAGCCCACGGCCTGTCCACGCTGCCTTCCTTCTCCCCTCCTTTGCCCAGGGTCCTGCATCCTCCAGCCCCTCTGTGGCCGCCCTGCATCCCTGCCTGCCCCACCTGGATGCCATGCACTGCCCCTGTGCACTGGTTCCCTGCTTGGCACTGCCAGCCACCCCGCTTTGCTTAAAGTGCCCATAGTCCCTGCCCCTGGCTTGCTGAGGCCCTCCCCTTTCCGTGCAAACCCCTTTCTTCCCTGCGCCCACCTGGAACTCCTACGAGGTGCTCACCAGAGGGCTGAGGGGACATAACACCTACTCAGGTGTGGGCTCGGCCCCAGGGAAACCATTACCTGCTTACTCTCGTCTCTTCCTGCCCTTCTGTCGCTCCAGTCGTGGAGGGGGGAGGGGACTGACACCACATCTGTCAGGCCTAGAGCCCAGGGCTCTCCACCGATGGTTACTGCCCTGCCCTGGCATGGCATTGTGCCCACCCACCCTCAGTCCCGCACAGAGATGCCCATACACACATGTGGGCGCGCGCACACACACACACACACACACACACACGTGCATATTGCCCCATCGCACAAGAAACCTGCCAAGGACCCTCACCAGTGGGCATGAAGGTCCAGCCCTCAGGGCATGGGGCATCTGACTCTGGCCGCCCAGGAGGGGGGCTCTTTGGACTTTTGGGACACCGAGCGAGGAGACTCTAAGCCAAGAAGGAGAAGAAAAAGCCTGAAGAACTTCAGTCTGATCTCAGCCACCTTCCGGGGCATTTGGCACTGGAGGGTGAGTGCCATCTTCTTGTCTGGGCCCATGTCACCCCCCCTGCTCCTGCCCCTCCTGCGACCTGCCCCCCTGGCTCCAAGGGGAGGCTGCCCACCCACACCCCACCATGCCAGGGCCCTACCCAGGGATGCAAGAGCAGGTCTTCCTCAGGATTCACTTTTCCCTCATTCATTTGTTCAGCCATTCACGTATTCACTCATTCATTGGGCAAGTGTTTTTTATTCCTACTGTCTGCCAGGCCCTATACTAGGTGTTTGGGGTGCAAATACGAGGAAGGTGTGGTCAAAACATTTCAGAGAAATCTTTGCTCAGTCCATGAGCTCCCAGCATAGTCACCGGTGAGTTCCTCGGTGACACCCCATGACGGTCATCGGGTCTCCATCACCCCCACTTTCTTGCGGGGGCGGATGCAAAGGCAGCTTCCCCAGGCCCTTAGTCAGGGTCTCAGTGAGGTTCTGAGAAGGAGCCTTTCAAAGAGACTCTACCTCTTTGCCTTGGGTTCCTGCAGGCCCCAAAGAGTCTGGCCCACCTGAGAACGGTTTGGAGAAGCAAGTCCTGGGAGCCAGGGCTCCAGCCCCTGGGCCCCTCTCCTGAGGGAGCCAGGGCTCCCCTTGGCACAGACCCCACTGGCCATGTGAATGCCAACAGGCATCTTTCTACCTTGGGTTCATCTCTGAAATTCTGGGTGCCCACTCAGTCCACACACCTTCCTGAATGCCTACCTCAGTGCCAGGCACATGGTCCCCAGAGTGACCACGAACATGTGGGTGTGACCGACACATGCCTCTGTGACCATGTGTCTGTCAGTGGGCACCCTTGAGTGTGTATCTCTGTGTGCACGTGTACACAGATGGGTGGATGGCTGATAATGTGTGCGCGTGTGGTATCTGTCTGCCCTGTTTGTGTGTGACATGCATCCTGTGCACACATAGGTGTGAGCCTGTGGGTCAGTGTCTGTACTGCCATGTTGGGGCGACAGTACATCATGAGGGGAGCCTGTGGGTGTGGGTGTGTGTCTAACATGCTCTGTAGCTGCAGCATCCAGAGTGAGAGAGCAGAGCTCTCCCCGAGCCGCCCCCCCCCTTCCTTGGACTGAGCCCCTCTGCCTGAGACTGTTTCTCTCCCCCAGTGCATGGGCCTCGTGCCCAGCCCTGCAGGCCTTCTCCCTGCCACAGGCTTCCTCCCCATCCATCCATCCATCCATCCATCCATCCATCCCTGTCGCTGTGCTCCTCCCACCTGCCACCTCTCGGTGCCCTGGCTGCGCAGACATGGCCTCCTGCATGTGTGTGCCCCCTGCCTTCCGCCTGCCCCGTGGCTCTGCCTCGAGGCCCGGGTCTGGTTTTCATTGCTCTCCCTGTCTGATCCTGCCCTCCACCCTCCACCCCCTCGGTCCCTTTTCTCCTTCTCTCTCTCTCGTTTCAGAAAAGAGGCCGGCTCTGCAGCCCCCTCGGGGACGACCCCACCAGCTCAAATTCCGAGTACAGAAAAGAAACCGGACCCCCCAGTGAGGCCCCCAGGCCTCCCGGACCCTTTGTTACTCAGGAACCTCACCTTGGACAGAATGGGCTGGGGGCTCCCGAGCCACCCACCCCGACCTCCGCTCTGCCACTCCGGCCTGCCTCCCTCTGGCCGGACAGAACTGGTGCTCTCCTCCTCCCCGCGTGCCCCTCACATGGACAGGGGACCTTCCCCACCCCCACACCCTCCCATGTTGGTGGTGTCTGTGACATTTCCTGTTGTGAAGTAAAAAAGGGACCCCTGCGTCCTGCTCCTTTCTCTTGCAGTCTGCTTGTCCGTGTGTCTGTTTTTCCACTTGTCCGTCTGTCCAGTAAGCAGGTAATGGTAGAGGGTCCTCATGCTGGTCAGCTCCAGACCCAGCCCTCCCTCCACCCCACTTCTACTTTCTCTCCCCACAGCCGGACCCTGCCATCGTCTTGAACTCTCACCCCCGCCCCCCCCACCCCCGCAGCTCCCGGGGGGAGGAAGCCCAGCCAGGCCTCCCGCTTCCCCTGGGGTGACCGCCGGGACCTCAGCCCTGCACAGACCCGGGGTCTGCCCTTGTTTGCTCCCCCGCAGACAAGGACGAGTGCTCCAAGGACAACGGCGGCTGCCAGCACGACTGCGCCAACACCTTCGGCAGCTACGAGTGCCTGTGCCGCAGCGGCTTCGTCCTGCACGACTGCCCGCCCGGCACCTCCCAGGCCCACCGGGCACTTCCCATCCCCCCAGCAACTGGACCTGCAGGACTGAAGGCTGGGGAGCACCAGGTCAGAGGTGCCCTCCCCACTGGTCAGTTTTTAGACTCGGGGAGCTGAGCGACTCCTGGGGTCACCTCATGTCACCAGTGCCTGGCGCACAGGTCTCCCCAGCCCAGGCACATCCAAGCCACATGCGATTCCGGGCTCTCCTTGTGTGTCAGGAAAGGGAGCTCACGGCTGCCCCAGGCTCCATTTTGGGCTGTTTTCGTAGTTAGTGCTTCTTCAAATCCATGTCCAGGTCCTTCTTTTTGTAACGACTCCCCCTGGCAGAGGCGCGAAGGGACTCGGTTAAGAGCGCAGACTGGAGCCGGGCTGCCTGATCCAGTCCTGCCAGCCAGCCGCCAGCCAGCTGTGTGCCCCTGAGCCCATGCCTTCCTCTCCCTGTACCTCGGTTTGCTCCATGTGACATGTAGAGGTGACAGCACCTGCCCTGTAAAGGCGTGAGGCTGTGAAGGCTCCATGCAGCACCTGGCTCATCGCCAGCACCATCATGCATGTCACCGTTTGGGGTCACACTGCTGACCCCGGGGACATTCAGAACAGGGCCGCTGCCTCCCAGGAACTGAAGCCCTGCAGATATTTGAACACAGCTCTCACGTCATCCTTGACATCATCCAATACCCCTTTGGGCACTGCACAGCACTGGCCTTCTCCAAGGCGTTCACCCCACTGTGGCACCCGCCTGTTAGCACTTACTAACCCCAGCACAGCACAGACTCGCCTCTGCCACTGAATGTCTGTGTGGCCTGGGGTGAGTCACTTCCCCTCCCCGAGCTTGTTTCCTCACCTGTGAGATGCTTTTTGAAAATGGTGCCTATTTTGCAGGGCACTAAGCTTCAGGGAACTTGCTCTGTGCACTTAGCACAGCGGCTGGCAAATGCCTCTTCTCACCATCAGTAGATGGACAACCAAGGTACAAACAAACTGCTGGCCAGAATAAACAGGACCCAAGCACCCGACAGCGACCCAACAGACACTCCAAGACGTCCAACCCGGTCACTTCAGGCTCCCCAGATATGAAGGCCTGACTCCTGGGGCCCCCCTCCCTATCGTTTAGCTAGAGGGGACTTAATTCTGATGCTGTCAAACTGCGTTTTTATCAACCCTCCATGAAAAAGAGGGTTTTGCTAAAGATCCCTCAGCATCAACATCAACGAGATGGCTGGGGAGGGTTTCAAATTCTTGGGAAGGTGGCCTGTATGCAGTAGCTCTGATTCGCTTTAGAAGCACATGGTTCCTTACTCGCTTAAAGGATGGGCTAATTACAGATCAGTCAGAGGGTGCCCCCTGCGGGTACAGCGCTGTGCAGGGCTCTGTAGCCCCTGCTGCCCAGGAGACTGCAGTCTAGCTGGTGTGCAAGGACATGTTCGAGGGCATGAGGACCAGGGGAGGACGGGGGAGGGCAGTGCCTGCAGACATGGGAAAATCCTGGAGGGGTAATGAGACAGCTCGTAGCTCAGCTGGGAGGGCCAGGAGCTCCGCCTGCCTCCACCCGCCTGGCCTGTGAGGTGCCGCTCTTCTCCAGGTCCCCCCGACCGTGCAGGCACAGCTATTCAGCCTGTCCCATCTTGAGTCTCTGACTAGGCACAGCTATTCAGCCTGTCCCACCCCCGCCCCCCATATACACACCCATCCCTTTCTCCTCCCCAGCCCAGGAGTCTACCTCTGCCCACTTTTCCTCAAGGGGCCTGTGAGATCGGATGGTAATGAATAATGAGCACCGGCTTTTAAATTTGTTGGTGAGGCCACGCTTTTCAGAGGCAGAAAGCAGACTGCAGGGGATCGAGGAGCCACAAGCAGTGAGGAGGTGGTGATAGCTGTCTTGAAGGTTGGCTGAGCAGAGAAGGAGAGAGGCTGGGCCGTGGGAGGGCTGGCTTAGGATGGGCACAGCTCAGGAAGGCTCATAGGCTGGCAGAGAGAGGGAGGGTGGGAAATGTGTGCTCCCAGGGTCCCCAGGTCAGAGAAGGAGATCATTCCTGCCCGAGAGGAGTGGCGCCTTCTCTGAGACTGGGAAGGAAGGGAAGTGGAGGTGAGGGGGTGAGTTTGCAGGTAAGGTCAGGAAGTTGAAGTCCTTCATCGTTGAGGCCCCGACTTTCTCAGGGAGGCAGGAGGGGAGGGGGTCAGCTGGGAGTTGAGGAGGGGGCTGAAGGTTTGGAGCCGTTGCTGAGGAGTTGAGAGATGGCGCTGGTGAAGGACAAATCCAAGAGTATCCAGTGGTTTGGGGCCCACTTTGGCTGACCAGTCGGGGCTCAGCCTGCAGTCCGGCTGGATAGGGAAGGAAGTCAACAAGGAGGGATATTGGGAGAAACTGGAGGGATCGGCGTGGAGGTCTCTCTAAAGTTGAAGAAGGGGGACAGGAAATGAGCGCCTGAGTGCCCTGGGAGACGGGAGGGGCCACAGAGAGGGTGGTGAGTGCAGCCTGGAGACGCGGTGGTGATGGCAAAGGCTGGGGTGAGGTCACCTCAGGAGGACGGAGATAAGGCCCAGTGGAGCTGAGGGCAGGGCATTGCGTGGACCGTCTCGTGTTTGTTGACATCACCGCGGACGGCGGTAGCGGGAGTGGGATGGAGAGAACTGAGTCAGGTGCCAAAGTCTCTGACTGTGGAGGCGTGGCAGGAGGTCAGAGGATGCCAGCGTCTCAGAGGGCAGAGAAGGTGTGGCCAGGTGGCCTCAAAGGTCCAGGGGTTTGCTCAGGGCGCCTGAGGGGGTGGTGCCAGGGATGCTGCCAGTGCGGCTGCACTTGGAACCAAGCAGCTTGGTTTCCCAGGGTGTGGGTACAGTGGGAACAAGCGATAGAAGTGCAGTCAGCTTTTATGTGGGAAGCAAGAGAAAGAAGGCAGGCGGGCGGGAGGGAGTGGCTTCCTTGCTTCCGAGGGGCATTGAAGCATTGGGGTTCCTGATGACTCCCTTCCCCTAACTCACCTCCCACAGCCGGCTGTGACCACAAGGTGACATCCACCAGCGGCACCATCACCAGCCCCAACTGGCCTGACAAGTATCCCAGCAAGAAGGAGTGCACCTGGGCTATCTCTAGCACCCCCGGGCACCGGGTCAAGCTGGTGAGCTGCCCACACCCCCGCCTGCACAGGCACTCTGCTCCCCATGCCACGAAGCCGCCACCTCTTTCCTGTCAGCTCCAAAGCCCTGGGTACTTAGAGTTACTGCCCAGAGCAGGGCAGGCTGCAGGCTGATGGCCTGGCTGAGCCCACAGGGCTGCCATCCTGGGAGAAGCCCAGGCTGGTCTCAACAGAGGCCCTTCCTCAGTGTACATTGGGGGTGTTCCTGCCATCACCCCATTCCTGGATTCCCCCCTCACTGCCGTCCACCAACCGTGGCCACTCTGTGAGCAGGGGTCAGGAGGCCTGAGTTTGGGGCCACCTGCTGCCCACCCCACTGGCCCCCACCACATTCCTAGCTCACTGTCCTGCTCCCATGACCCAGACCTTCCTGGAGATGGACATTGAGTCCCAGCCCGAGTGTGCCTACGACCACCTGGAGGTGTACGACGGGCGTGACGCCAAGGCCCCGGTTCTGGGCCGCTTCTGTGGGAGCAAGAAGCCCGAGCCGGTCGTGGCCACGGGCAGTCGCATGTTCCTGCGCTTCTACTCGGACAACTCCGTCCAGCGGAAGGGCTTCCAGGCGGCCCATTCCACAGGTAAGGACACCTGCCCCCGGCCCGGGCAGCCGGCCCGAGCGCCAGCATTTGTTCTGGAGGCATCTGCCGGTCCCGGTC